GAGACCATCAACTCTGAACCACATGGTAGAGAATGATTATATAAAGCCTGAAGTGATTCCAAGATATATCAGAACAAAATGAGAAACTTTGGGAAGGGCAGAAGCGTTGCACATGGTTTTATTCCATTTACTTCTTCTGTCTTCTGTCCTGCCATTACTGCTGTCCTGAAGACTAACATGCTCAACACTTAAGTGTGCCTGTCTTAAACATAACAGCTGGCTCTTCCAAGCTTCCCTTCTAACCCTGAAGCCCCCCCCCCCGCTCCGTATTAGCTTTCTACTACAATGCTGCTTCCCCGCGACGGGGTGAGCTCCCGTTGCTTGGTCCCTGCTCCTGCCAACCTAGCTGTTTGAAAGCATGTCAAAATGCAAGTAGAAAAATAGGTACCGCTCCGGTGGAAAGGTAAACGGCGTTTCCATGTGCTGCTCTGGTTCACCAGAAGCGGCTTAGTCATGCTTGCCACATGACCTGGAAGCTGTATGCCAGCTCCCTCGGCCAATAAAGCGAGATGAGCGCCGCAACCCCAGAGTCGGCCACGACTGGACCTAATGGTCAGGGGTCCCCTTTACCCTTTACCTTACAATGCTGCTAATATAATCCTTTTCCAAACTGATCTTGATACTTCCCCCCACCCTTGTACAGTGGTACCTCGGGTTAAGTACTTAATTCGTTCCGGAGGTCCGTACTTAACCTGAAACTGTTCTTAACCTGAAGCACCACTTTAGCTAATGGGGCCTCCTGCTGCTGCTGTGCCGCCGGAGCACGATTTCTGTTCTCATCCTGAAGCAAAGTTCTTAACCCAAAGTACTATTTCTGGGTTAGCAGAGTCTGTAACCTGAAGCGTATGTAACCTGAGGTACCACTGAGCTACAACTATTAGTTGTAATTTGCAAAGGCCCCACAGAATCTGGTGATGGTTTTTGTTATTCCATTCTTGTGCTAATAGTAGTGTCTAAACTGAGAGGCAGTTCCTCCTCTGAATTTCTTTCTTCATTTACACTTTTTTTTGGAATCCAAGCATATACAAACGAATCCTAATTACCTGCAAGACAGTGACTCCAACACCATCTGATAACCATTGATGAGCCTAATGTGATTTGGTATTCAAATTGTACCTGAGGAAAACAAACCGCTATTCAATTTCTGGTTGGTTCCTTCACCATTCTACTAACACTGACTGTGTATATGTTAAGAATTATCAGTTTTTAAAATATTATTATTTAAAAGCATCATCACCATCAAGCACATTAAATTTATTGTGTGTAATCCACGAACATATCACAGACACAATATTTTAAAAATAAATATTGAAACAAATTACAGCCACAGGAATAGGCTGGGCCATAGCTGCCAACCTTCCCTTTTTTTGTGGCAAATTCCCTTATTCCAGCGCCGTTTCCCGCTGCTTCCCACTGCTATCCCGGATTGTTAGATATCCCGTAGACTGTCCCTGGAACAGGTGAGGCTGCTGATCCCTTGTTTTCGAGGCTGCTGATCCCTTATTTTCAAATCTGAAAGTTGACAGCTATGGGCTGGGCCCATGTGTGCATTCCCCTATCTGTGCAAGTAGGCAGCTGCTATTTGTATATGATGTGTTGTTTTTAAATTTCATTCTTCCACGATCAAACGCTTTTTGTGATATTTAAATTAGATGCATTTAGGGGAAAATATATACCATGGACAGCTACAACTTATAGTGCATGCTGCATTTGAAACCTGCTGAGCCATGTAAGTACAAAATCAAAATGATTTACTGCTAGCATAGTGACTCTTTTAACATTAGGTTTTAACACTGCAACCTTTCATAGTGTCCATTTAAGTCCATTAATCTTTAGAGAAGGCTCAAGGAATGTTTTGGTGCCACTGATTACTTCAGTGGCCCAAATTTTGCACGAGGGTTAAAACAAAAGTAGCAGGTAAAAATCACTCCTTTCCCAAAGCTGAGCTTTCCTATGCAGGCTAACATACTTTGACACTGCTTATTTCATTGTTTAACAAGGTTCTATTGCTGCATCCATGAGAATGATTGGGAAGAAACAGAAGTTGCAAGTGTCCCAGGTGGGCTAAAATTGATGTTGGGAGAGAGAAATCAGTCTTGTCTGTTTTAATAAAAAAGAGTTTTAGAAGGACTTCTTGGTTCAATCTCTGGGTTTTTTTGGGGGGAGGGAAGGGGGGGAATGACTGCCATAAGGACATACAGCAAGTCCCCCAATTACACAATAAATCCAGTTTGGCAAATGCCCTGACAGCTTAATCAATACTTGGTGGTTTAATGATGAAGCTCCTCTCTTTGCTCTCAATGTACCATTTTGCAGCCTTGAGAATATTTTCAACCATAATGGCTATTTATAACACAAAAATGCAAAAGAGAGCTGCCCAATTTACACAGCATTCACTGCACAAATACATTTTCTGTTGATTTCATTGGTTCTGACACATACCCACACCAACACCCACACCCCTGAGAAAACCATAGAAAACCTTCAATTCCTCTGTCTAGAGAAGACCACTTTAAAAACACATAGTAGGATAAGCACTTCAATTATGGACAGGATGAGATAAGATAAAGAAGATGTTCTGAAGCAGCTCTTTCATCCTTTTAACTACTGCTGCTCACTTTATTGATAACATACTATTATGAGTTTGTGGGTAACTGGACTTCCCTTCTAATTTCTGACTCCCCTAAATTCCTGGGTTCCAGATCCTCCCCTAAATTCCTGGGTGTTTAATCCACGCTTGCACTAATGAGATGGGTTGCCAAACGCTGGATTTAACAGTGTCAAACCAGTTTTTCCATACTCAGGATATCGCCTAGGAGAAGAGTCATCATGGAGAACCAAAGGAAAGTAATGGGCGATTAACAATGCAAAGACTCTGTGCCAGCCAGAAAATGGAGGGAGTTGTTTCCTGAGCTCTGAGATAGTGAGCAGAGCCAAAAGGGGGGCAGTTGTTAAGGACTGCAGTGGTGATGATGTGACCGAGGGAAAAAGCTTTTCAGTCTGTTATACACAGCAAGCTGAGCAGAGGGATAAAGAGCCTTCTTTCTTTTCTTTTCTTTTCTTTTCTTTTCTTTTCTTTTCTTTTCTTTTCTCTTTTCTTTTCTTTTCTTTTCTTTTCTTTTCTTTCCTTCCTTCTTTCGTTCCTTCTTTATTTCCTTCCTTCTTTCTTTATTTCCTTCCATCTTTCTTTCTTTCTTTGATCCAAGGCTGCAGCAATGGGAGAAACAGCACCCTCTTGGACTGCAATACTTTGAACCCCTCCATCATAGGCTCAGGTCATATGTATGTGTAAATAAACCATATATCAAAAAGACACCACAGTCTCCACTGTGCCTCATTTCCAAAAGGAAACACGAACCCTGAGTAAGCACTTGAAAACCCTGGAATCTCGCGTGGTTCAGATTTTTGGGGGGTGTATGTGTAAAAATACATAAGGAGATGAAACTGTTGCAGCTGCACCAATACTTTAAAGCTAACTATTCTAGAGTCAGAGCTAAATACTTAATAATCAATCTTTCTTCTGCCCAGGTGCAAGAACATTCCTTCCCCTCAGGAATATTGTAATCAAATGGTAACTCTTTCAGTCTCCATCATCACCAACCCAGGTGTGAGGGGTGAGTGCTGCCAAAGCCAGCATAGATAAAACTCCAGGCTCGCCGCCAGTTTCTGTCTTTTAGATTTATTTACAAAGTTCAAATGGTTTCCAGAGCTTCAAAGCATGTCCGTCCCTGTCTCATTAGATGCCTCGAATGGTTTTTCCTTACTCCTCCTTCCCCAGCAGGCTAATCGTCGGAAGCCCCGCCTCTTACTTCCTCTGTTCAATGAATAGCTAGTTGCGGGCTCAGCATCCCCCCTCCCTGTCTCTTCTTCGCTGTCAGATGAGAAACTGCTAATTAGCTCTTTCGGCTCTCTATAAGTGCTGGTCTCCCCCCTCGGCTCTCTAGCCGTTTGCACTTCCCTGACGCCAGGTGCTGCCCAAACAAGTGACCAACTCCAGCATGATTGAAGAGTATGTGCACTTAGATGCACTGAAGCCAACAATAGTCTCAGTACCACTCCCAGGTCCTGACTCTCACAATGACCTTGACATGCCGCCTCTTCTTCAGATAATGCATAGAACCTCAGGTGAGAGACACAATTTGGCATCCCCACAGAAACATGAAATGTATTTTCCCACTGTTAGTCAGCCCTGTGCTCACCATATTTAGTAATGCAAACTCACCACATAACACAAGAAAAAACAGACACCCCAAGTCTATAGCCAAGGAGACTTCAGTGGAAATTCTTGCTAATTCAAGACGGATATTGGTGATACCTGAGGCTGTGAGACTTCAACATTAAACAAACAACATTCCATGCAACCATGAGCTAAATTCTGTCCCCCAAAATGGAATTCAGGTGAATTAAATTATGTGATTTTAATATTAATGAGTTGTGGTTAAGAACAAGTTGTAAGCCACCCTGAGCAGGAGGAGATACAAATATACAAATATTTTAAATAAATGAATGAATTTACACATTTTTTCCTGTGTGTAGTTTCCTCTGTTGTTTTCACTGTTTTGGAAGACCTGCTTCTGCTATTTAAGGAGCTAGAGTGGGGTGATGCATGAAACTGTTCCTCACCCCCTGTGAATCTTACTCAGCAAGTCCTCTGGCTTCTGAAATTGCAAGTTTCAATCACATCTTTACTAGACGCTTAACTTGTTCTCTCTCTTTCTTTAGGGAGAGCTGAAATTCTTTGCTGTATTCTAGGTTTGTTAAAAAAACAACAACACTTCCACAGAATACCAATATACACAATGCCTGGCTGTAGTCTAAATCCAAGACCTGCTTGCTGTTCCTATCCAAACAAACAAGAATATTTTTACAGTGGTACCTCAGTTTACGAAGTCAGATCAATTGTACATCCAGTATGGATGCTGACAAGCTTTTTGTAAACCACTTTGACTTTTTGTAAAATAAATAAGCAGCTGCTCCCCAGGGTTTTCTGTAGCCCTACTTGTAGATGTCAGGGGTTGAACCTGGGTCTTCTGTATGTAAAGGTGATGCTCTACCACTGAGCTACAGACAATAGGTGCAACTTACTTTTGAGCATAGGATTCACATCTTGTCCAATATGGGGAAGCAGAAGCTGCTGTCTCACTGAGATATATGATTACTGAAACCAACTAACGGTTATTGGAAAAACCTTCCCTGAGCTGGCTGAACTCCTCAGTCACAAGACAAGAGAGAGGGAGGTACGAATCAGTTGCCTATAAAAGCAGATTATTTCAGGATTGCAGGCATTTCTCCCTCAAGCCATGCTCAGCTTTATGAGTTATTTAACAGCACACACTTTTAATTCTACAGTCTGAAATACAGATTGCAAAGAAAAATTTGCTGGAACCGTCAGAATAAAACACCAATGCAGAGCATGCAGTATGCGACCTAGATTACGGTGATGAAAAATACATGAAGCATGCTGCAAACAGCAGGAAAAATGAATTCTGATGTGCTCAGTGGTGGCATAAGAGAAACAAAGCCTGAAAAATCTACACAGCATTTAAGTTAAGGGCCAAAGTTCATATGTAAAGCAGTCCCCAAGACAAATGAAAGAGCTGCAGTCACTCTGCTCTTTTCTTATTTACTTTACCAAACAGATTTGCAAGCCTGACTTAGCAGCAATCTTCTTTTTCAAATGTGGCGAGCCAAAGAGATTTCTCTTTGTCTTTTCCCACATAATCTGTCATTACCAAGAAGCCTTATTTACCCTGCCAGGTTCAGTCAGTCTGGGCAGGATTTGTACTAAGCAACAAGCAGTCTCTGTTATATAGATTAGCCTGTGCTGTGCAGGTCATGCAGTATCAAATCCAGGTCTAGGTAGCCAACAGCAGACCAATCCAGTTCTTTTCTGGGAGCAGACAAAACATTCCATGTAAGATTGTTTTGATTCGTAAGTCCTGAGCTTGCTTTGAATATTGATCTACCCAGTCAAAAACTTCACAGCTAATTTCTCAGACGGTGTTCATATGGAATCGGGAAAGGGAGAAGATAAATGGAAGGGTTGTTCTGTTCTGCTCTGAGAGCCAGTGTGGTGTAGTGGTTAAGAGCGATAGACTCGTAATCTGGGGAACCGGGTTCACGTCTCCGCTCCTCCACATGCAGCTGCTGGGTGACCTTGGGCCAGTCACACTTCTCTGAAGTCTCTCAGCCCCACTCACCTCACAGAGTGTTTGTTGTGGGGGGAGGAAGAGAAAGGAGAATGTTAGCCGCTTTGAGACTCCTTCGGGTAGTGATAAAGCGGGATATCAAATCCAAACTCCTCCTCCTCCTCCTCTTCTTCTTCTTCTTCTTCTTCTTCTTCTTCTTCTTCTTCTTCTTCCTCCTCCTCCTCCTCCTCCTCCTCCTCCTCCTCCTCCTCCTCCTCATCTGCCAAGCCACTCAGCACATTCTCAGCACACTGCTTTGGGAGTGAAGGAGGGCAATAGGGGGAATGACTATTTTCCACTTTCCGCCTGACCTTCCTACCCTTTTCTGGTGTTTGATGCAAATATTACTCAATGGGTACAGATTGCACACTGGATGTCAAAATGATAGGTGGAAAAACAGTGTTTCATCTAAGTCACTGTGAATTTGAAAGCTCTCTCATACTGAAGAAAGAACAGTTATGGCTGGGCTTCCAAAGCTGCATTTGAGAAGATGATCATGTTATTACAAGCATCCAGTCTGCAAGGGTGAACAAACATTTTCTTGGCTTTGTGGATGCACAGGGGATAGAAATGCACTCACATGCACATGCAGCTTGCATATAAACCTTTAATTGTGCAACTAAGTATGAACGCATCACAGACATACAGTTCTTGTATACTTGTAAATGCGGTTTTTAAAATTTCCTAGTCCATTAAAATGCATTTTACCCTACTTTCTAGATGCCTTCCAGTAAAAAGGAATGCTCCAAAGGCAGGGCTAGGGAAGAGGTCTGGCAAAGGGCTCAAACTGGGTACAGTGGCCCAGGCATGGGCCCTATTCTTAATGTACCCCTTCAATCTCAGATGGCAGTACGGTTCCACTTGAAAATCTGCACAAGTCTGACACAGCTTCATTTTTGTCAAGCACTATTCACAGAAGATTTACTGATACTGAAGTAGATAAAGCCATTAAGGCGACAGCTTTCCATTTTGGAACTTGTTCTGGAACGAAATGGACAAATTGTTCGACAGAGATCTACTTGAGCAAATCAGCAAGGCAGAACTTGACATTTTAGATAGGGCAATCCAATCTTCACTGGCATTCTTAGAGGTGTGCACAGCATTAGTTGTGGTCTATAGGGTCGACTGCCAATGAATTCCTGGTGGGGTGCCAGTTTCTTCCTTCCTTCCAACCTCAGAATGGTGATGCTAGGGCAAATTAGTGCCCAGTGCATTTACAGAGAGGGAGATCTTCACACACACACACACCCATCCTGGGGTAGGAGGATAGACCTTCTACTCCATGAGCGCTGGTGGTGGCAGCAGCAAACAATCCAGATACAGAGAACAATCGCTGGGTTCCAAGGCTACAGGGAAATTATGGTTGCCCTTATGCTTCGAGTCCTAAGCTGTTTCTTGGTTGCAGCAAACATCCTGGAATCCAGAACACCAATGTGCTAGGTCTGGCAATCGTCGCCCCTTCCTTTTTTCCTTTTGCCTCAGAAAGGTACCATGGAAACAATCTGCTTATTTTATTTTATTGTTTTATGCATACATCAGCCTTCAATAGGTTGTGAGGGTAGCTTACAAAGAGTTAAAATTGTAACTGAAGAAACAAAATCATTCACACAGCACAGCAAGAGCGGTTTTAAAAGCAAGCAGAATGAAAAACAAACGGAGCACCAAGACAGCAAGGTAAAGGTAAAGGGACCCCTGACCATTAGGTCCAGTCGTGACCGACTCTGGGGTTGCGGCGCTCATCTCGCTTTACTGGCCAAGGGAGCCGGCGTACAGCTTTTGGGTCATGTGGCCAGCATGACTAAGCCGCTTCTGGCGAACCAGAGCAGCGCACGGAAACGCCATGTACAGAAGATTAAAATGCCGGCGGGAGGAGGTAATAAAGCCTTTGCTTGGCGCTGAAATGACATCAAAATAGGAGGCAGGCAAGGCTCCCTAGGGACAGCATTCCACTGTCAGGGTGCCACTACCAAGAAGGCCCACTGCTCTGTAACCACCCAACTCAGCTCTGATGGTGTGGGTGCCAAAAGAAGGATATCCACTCAACTTTGTAGTATAGGGGCAGACACCTGTAGAGGCAAGTAGTACTTCGCAGTCACAAGCCATGAAGTTAAAGGCAGTGACTCACCAAGGTTTGTATTCCATTACAAACTTCAGCATCACTCTAAATGGCTCAAAGATGTGGCTTCAGTTGTGAATGACTGTAATCCCCTGATCAGCTAATTTGTTGCTGGCTCAGTTGAGGTTGAAGTCAAACACAAAGTAGATTGTTGCAAGGCTGAAGTTGGTCCACATTTGTTATTTATTTTAGCATTACATTTATATTCTGCCTTTCCTCCAAGGTGCTCAAAGTGGCATACATGGTTCTCCTCATTCCCATATTATAGTTACAAGAACCTTATGAAGTTACAAGCAAACTTCATAACTGAGTAGGGATGTGAACCCTGTTCTCCCACATCTTAGTCCTGCACTCTAACAACTCCTCCATACTGGCTCTATCTCAAATAGCAATAGTAAACCAATTAAGAAGGCCTGCCAGTGGCTGAAGCTCTGGAGAATCCTCTTAACTAGAAAAGCAAGAACAATGATCTAAAGTGGAAATCTTCAACAAAACATTCTAATGTCACACTTAAAAGCAACAATCCAGAAGATTGTGTAATGCAAGGAACTAAATTATGCAACAAGAACATGCTTGTTCAATTATATTACTTTGTTGTAAATCTTTTAAACTGAATGAGAATGGTGACAGGACAGTGTCAGATGCGGCAGAAGAAAGGACTGGAAAACCAGAAGCACAATTTTTGTGGCAGAAAATTGTCAGGAAAGTTTGGACTACCCTTTAGAAATATTTGCTATTGCTAGCCATTTATTTGCTATGAAGCTACTGAGTCTTGGAAGATTTGGGCCGGCTGCTGAGACTTGGTGCTTATTGTGTTGCAGTCACAGCTATTTCCTGCAGAAACTCTTTGAAAACTGTGGTATTTTGCATTAGCTGCCAAATTCTGCTGTGAATATCTTCTTTTTGCAATAATAAAGAGAACTGAAAGAGGGCTAGAGCAACTGTTGTATCTTAGGAATCCTTGGCAAAGCATTTCAATTATGCCCATGCACCTGCACCCCTATTCATTACAATTATAATGCATTTAGGTGTCTTTCCTACAAAATTTTAGCCTTGATAGGTGGAATGGGTGGGTGCGGAGAGACTAATTGCTTTTGAAGAGGCACATCAGAAACCTAAATGAGTCCACAATATGTTCTTCCCATTTATCTTGCTTGACAAGGAATGCTTCTAAGGGAAAGACATATTGAAAATCAAATGATCTCTTATTAATTGCACCCACTCAATTGTACTTCGATACAAAATAGAAGTATAAGGAGAAAAGGTGCAAATCATCACTGAACCAAGATTCAAAAGAGCCCATCTCTTTCTGCACCAAAGCAACCTACAGGAACACTGCAAAAATGCACATGCGGAAGGTTTTAGTTTAACCTTTCCATATCCAGGTCAGGGTTGCATAAACCGAACCATCTTTGGGGAAAGAAAACCATATTTGTTTTTTGTCAGCTTGCCTTGAAATGGGAAATTATCTGTTTTTATGATACCGTGCAACTTGGATGGTAGGTTTACAGAGCCCAAAAGAGTGTAGCTAACCAATGCAAAAGAATAAGCTGTTGTTTGTCTTTTCACAAGTTTATGGCAGATAGTCAAGATGCAGGAGGAATTTTAGACATTATAAGAGAGAATGATTGCAGTGGCTGAAAAGAGTCGTTGCTTATGCAAGCACAGTGCAAACTGCCTTCTGTGCATTGCTGCAGCTATGCAACCCACATCATGATCTATGCCAGTGCACTTCATTAGGCCTCCGGCAATGCCATGCTACTCC